ATTCCTGTCTAGTGGTGAGAGTGGTGTGTTGAAATCTCCCACTATAACTGTGTGGGGCTTTAGATGATATTTAAGTTCTAATAATGTTTCTTTAACGAATGTGGATGCCTTTGTATTTGGGGCATAGATGTTCAGGATAGACAGTTCATCTTGGTGGGTTTCACCTGTGATGAGTATGTAATGACCTCTTTCATCTCTTTTGATTGATTTTATTTTTCGCTACCTTTTATTTCTTCACCTTCTTCTATACTTATTATTCTTAAGTTAGGCCTTTTCATGGTGTGGCATATTTCCTGGATATTTTGTGTTATGTATTTGTTGCACTGGAAATTTTCTTTGGCTCATGACTGTATATCCTGTAGTGAGCCTTCAACAACTGAGATTCTCTCTTCCATATCTTGTATTCTATTGGTTATATTTATATCTGTATCTCCTGATCATTTATTTAGCATTTCTATTTCTACTATCCCCTCATTTTTTGTTTTCACTATCGTTTACATTTCATCTTTCAAGCTTTGAACTGTTGGAGTGGTTTCCTTCACTTCCTTGGTTGTTTTCTCTTGGCTATCTTTAGATTCTTTAAGAGACTTGTTCACTTCTTGAATTTTTTGTTTTGTATTTTCCTCCATTTCATGTATTTTTGTTGTGTTTTCTTCTATTTCTTTAAGAATTTCCTCATTTCCTCTTTGAGGGTCTCTATCATCTTCATAAAATAATTTTTAAAGTCTGTCCGTTCTGCTTCATCAACATTGAACTTTTCAATTCTTGTTGTTGTAGAGTCTCTAGATTCTGGTAGTGTCATATTGGTCTTTCTATTGCTGAGAGTGTGTTCATGTAATGTCGACATCCCATCCTTTTTCCGAGTGGGTGTAGAAGGAGTCTCTCTGTCTCCTCTGTTCTCCAGGTGGCATATGTGTGCCAAGGTTTCACTGTCTGTAACTCGAGATGGTCTGGCTTCTCCTGGTATTCTCACTCAAGCAGAGTGTGGTGTTCAGAGGGGGAGCCAAGAGTGGGGTGTGGCAGGACACATCTTCTTCCTGTCTGGAGGAGTTCCACTCAATGCAAGGAGCCAGTCTATGAAGATCCAAGGAGGGGGTGATGGGCAGGAATTAGGGCCCAAGCAGAGCCCACACACACCTGAAGCAGAGCATGCCCAGTTGGGAAGAAACAAGAGTGGGGTGTAACAGGAATAAAGACCCTAGCATGAACTTTTAAAACCTCCAATTCTACCTCCAGTGACATTCCCTTTCTAACAATGCCACTTCTACAACAAGGTTACAAAAGGGAAGGCCTGAGAGGGTCAGCAAAATAGACCTAGCTGGGTCTGCAGCAAGTAGCAGAGTCTCTAGGAGGTAGGATGAGAGGAGGGGTTTATGCAAGCAGACTGCTATAGGACTGTGAGTTGGGAAAAATGGTAATGACAGATAGGAAAGAGAGTGAAACTTGCCCACCCAAGCCCCAGCCCTGTGAGATCACTGGTAGAAAGTGTTTGTGGGGATCAAAACTGACACAAAAGAATGGAGATTGACTGAAATGGAAAACAGAGAGTGTTGGCAGGAAAGCTAAGTCTAGGCTACACCTAAAGTCAGGGACCCTGGGAGTGTACATCTCATAGAAATAATTATTTTGGCCTTTTTTCATATGAGTGACTGGAATACCAATCACTCACCATTTATTCCAAATGGTGAACGTGATCTTTGTGTCTTTAGGGGAGCTGGTGTTGCAAGGCTGTTTGAGCCAGGGTAAGATGGTGTGGTAGCTGTGAGTGAGTGGCAGAATGGGTCTTGTTGGAACAGGGTACAGTGGATGGCAGCAGTGGTGGAGCAGCCTGCCCACAGCTCTCTGAGCTGCTGGCCTGTTTCTGGGGTCTGCACCAGCATAGTGGGATTTCATAAGTGGGTGCAGGGTCTAGCTGCCTTCATGGGTCTGAGAGAGGAGGGGAAGTTTGCTATTTCTTAAGTTAGGTTACATCATAGAATATATGTCTTGATCTCTTACTTAAAATTTTTACTTTAGTCTCTTAGAGTTTGTAGAATATTCTTCCAGTCCCTTATGCATTTCAGAGTCTTCAGTGAGAAGTCAGGTGTTTTTCTAATAAGACTGCAGTCTTCAGGTTCATTAACCTCTTTCTTTGCAGATTTAACATTCTTACTTTTTCAGTATGTTTAATGGTTTTATTATTAGGTATTGTGGGGAATTTCTTGTTCAGTCTATTTGGTGTTCTGATGTGTTCCTTGTATTTTGATGTGAACCTCCTTATTTACATTTTGGAAATTTTCTCTTATGATTTTGTTGAAAATATTTTTTGTGCCCTCGACCTAGGTTTCTTCTTTTTCTACTATTCCTATTATTCCTAGATTGGATATTTTACAGTGTCTCAGATTTCCTGCATGTTTTGTGCATGGCTTTTTTTTACATTTAGCATTTACTTTGTCTGGGGTATCCCCTTTTTTCCTGTTTTGTCTTCAATATCTGTCATTTTCTTTTCCATCTCTTGTATTCTTTTGGTTAGGCTTATCAGGGTAGTTCTTTTTCTAGTTCCTAAAGTTTTCACTTCATATCTTACCTCAGTTTAGATATTTTTTAATCAATAGTACTTCCATTTTCAAGTCTTGAACTGTTTTCTTCATTTTATTTCAATGTTTATTGCATATATTCCATGAATGCAATAATTTGTATCTTCTTTAAACAACTCACATGCATATAAATACTGTTTTGAAATCCTTGTCCTGTGGTCAGCTGTATTGTATTACTCAGGGACTCTTGTGTTCCATTGCTATGTACTAGAGAGTACATGTTGTTCTAGCTGTTATTAATTATATATTTATAGTGGTGGATAGGCACCTTGGCTTGTGATGGTTGTAATTTTAGTTGCTGGTATCTCATTTGTCTTTGTTGGGTGAGGGTTTTGTTCCTTGGTTTCAGTTGCCTTCACTGGTTTTTATAGGGTCAGGTGGCTGTGAGTTTCCTGGCAGGAATGCTTCTGAGATACTGCCATGTGTGGTCACTGGGAGTTCCAGGAGGAATGTGCTTTTCAGTATAGGAAACTTACAATTAGGATTACATTTTGGCTACAAGAGAGGCACCTTATTGGGTCCACATTTAGAAGGAAAGCAGGGTGTGACAAAAGGATATGCCTAGACCTTTGGAAATGTAGGCAGACAGGGAGTAGAGGACACAACACGTAGCCTGATACAAGAGTGGGAATTACAAGGGAAAGTTAGAATGCAAGGAGGAGTGGAGTGAAGATGCCCACCTGATTCCCTGGACTCTTTGGCTGGTGGATTTCCAGGGAATGTTTTTGGAGCTAGAAGCAAAGACTAATGAAAGTATTCCTGAGGGGGCTATAAGATATCTATCTGCCTTTTCCACTAGAGGTAGGAGAAGAGAGTCTCCTTGCTGTTTAATTTTTCATGTTTCTAAGCAAAGCTAATTATTGACATTCAATGTTATAGTATTTGAAGGAAAATCAGATTATATAAAAGAAGCCCAGGATCATGGTGAAATATGATAAATTTATTTAAAATAAAAAACACTCAAAATAAATTCTTCCCCATTTAAAATATACTTTTTGTCAATTAAAAGTAGGAAGCATTTAATTTTGTCCTAATAAGTGTGAGAAAATAATATAGTTTCTATCTTCTAAGAATACTTAAAGCTCCATAAAATATCCAGGGACATTATTCTCTAAATGTCAAATTAAAGGTAAAAGTTCATGGTGACAAAGTCATCGTGTTCCACCTTCTCAAGCAGTGCTCTTGTTATTATAAATCAGGTAATTTTATAGTATCATGTTTGATATCTAAGCAATAGTATCTTAAGTTTCCTTTAAGTATTTATTCAAAATTGGTAGTAGGATTAGAAGGTGTGCTTTTATTAAAGTATTTATTAAACTTTCCATAGTAAATGAAACCATTAAACCCAAATGTGCCATTATAAAATGATGTACCTTCCAGAAACATAAAATATTGAAATAGTAGGAATTATGAATTGCAAACTTTATGTTTCTATGTGTAACTTTATCAATCCCCCCTCAAATAAATCACACGAAATCAATCTTATATTCGTCTCCCTAGTTCCATATTCTACAGTGACTTCTTGTTGCAACTTCATGAACATTGTAAACACAACAAACTTTAACATTGGGGAGGACTTCAGTAACTGAAAAGACAAGAGAGTGTTTTGTATTCCAGCCACATCATGCTTCAATAGTGGATTTTAATTCATGTCAACAATAGTTCATGAACTTTAATTCTCTCACTTGAAATAACAGGCTCACTATGATGACAACACACATTAGAACTTAATTTGAAAACAATCAAGAAAATGCATAATGTGTACAGTAAGTTAACCTAGTAGCAGGTACCCCACATATAATCTGGGGGTTATAAGTGCCATTCTTCTGTGGATATGGTTATGAATTTAATTGATTTGTTTAAATATTTTAAAAATCAGATTTTAATGTAAATCCAACAATTTCCACCTGCCTCCCTACTTCACATGTAACCATCCTTGTTCTCTTTCAGATTCATTGCCTTTTTCTTTAACTACTGATATTTCTCCAGCTCTCACAATTCATTGTTTCTAAGGATGAAGCCACTGAGATTCCACCTTCCACATCAGCTTGTCTATTCAGTTCCTTCCTTCCTTCTTCAGTTCCTGTTCAAGTAACCTGGTTTTCTGTCATTTCTAAAACACAGCTTCAGGAGAGGTGCCTCTTTAAATTGACTGCCATGTACACAATTTAGGTGTTGATTACACTCATGTTGTAAATGGTTATTCAACAGTGTATACTATTCATGCCTAGAAAAGTATCAGCTCTCCATTTCAAACTTTGGTGTACCTTTTAAACTGCCCATTAAACATATGTGCAACACCAGTGACCACCACAATATCATGAAATATTGTGAAATATCAGTTAATAAGATGAGATATTAACTGGGATTTACAAGTGCAGTTAGTATATAGATACATAAATGTAAACACATAAAGAATACCAATCACCAAAATACTCTGCTAAGAAACTTCCTTAAGGCAGATTTAATGTCCTTGTTCCTCAGGCTGTAGATGAAGGGATTCAACATAGGTGTGACCACAGTGTACATGACTGAGGCCACTGTATTACTTCTTGAGGAAAGTGACAGAGTAGAGCTGAAGTACACTCCTAGTGCTGTTCCATAAAACAGGCAAACAATGGACAAATGAGACCCACAGGTTGAGAAGGTTTTGTGCTTCCCACTTGATGATGATGATCGCATAATGGAGGAAACTATTTTAAAGTAAGAGAAAATGATTCCCGAAATAGGAAGTAACCCAAAGAAAGCACCTACACAGTACCTGACTATATTCTTGCTTACATCATCAAAACAGGGAAGTTTAAGGACTTCAGAAGGGCCGCAGAAGAAGTTGGAAATTTCAACATAATCCGCACAGTCAGAAAAACTTAATACTGCCACATAGTGCATCAGTAAGTCCACAAGGCTAATGCAAAAACATCCTAGAAGTAAGACACAACATCTACTATGATTCATAATGACCTGGTAATACAGAGGGTGGCAGATGGCCACAAACCTGTCATATGCCATCACAGCCAGAAGCATATCATCCATACATCCAAAAATTATAAACAGTGACATCTGTGTCAGGCAGCCCACATAGGAAATGACTGGGCAGTGAGTCTGGATATCCACAATCATCCTGGGAACAGTGGTGGAGATGAAACCAATATCAACCATGGACAGGTTTGAGAGGAAGAAGTACATAGGGGTGTGAAGATGGATGTCAGAGCTTACTGTCAAGATGATGAGTAGGTTTCCCATCAGGGCCAAGATGTACATGGACATGAATAGGCCAAAGAGAACAGGTTGTAGGTATGGATCCTCTGAGACTTGAATAAAGTGGAATTCTGGTGCAGATGTTGTGTTCTGCATGGTTTTATTTCGTGAACATCTTTTGAAAAAAACCAAAAATGTTGTTAACAATGGAACCAGCACACATGTAGACCCTCTTTGCAATTCCAGTCAAGTAAAAATATTCATTATTTTCTCAAGCCTATTTTGAAATCATTAATAATTGATCAGTTGTGCAAATACCATACTATAAATATTGTTTTATTCTTAGCTCGGGTGACACCTCTCATGAGAGCCATATTAAAGACAGTAACGTAGATTATGTGAGGCCAATGTTACTGAAAGCAGCTGACCTGTAGTCACAGTAAAATAAACTAAACATATTTAAGACAAAGTGGATATTTTTTAAAATTCTTACATTAGGAAAAGTGTGAATCAAATAAAATGTAAACTTGAATCACTGAAACACACATCATTTTATTACAATAACCTGGAACAAGTTTATTTTCCTTAGAATATATGACAGTGTGAAATCAAAGTTTCTAAATAAAAATTGTTGATTTCTACCCAGAAAAATATTTTCAGGGTCCAGTATCTTCTATAGATTTCTTTTTTTACCTTTGACTTAAAAGAATATTCACCATTTTTTTGTCATTTGGGATTGAAGTAAGCTTTAGTTAAAAATTTGTTTAAACTTTAAAACCAGATAATATATGTATTCCTTATTTTTCTAAGTCTATTTCTAATTTTCATAAATATGTCTTTGTTAAATCAAGATTATCACAGAACATTTATGTCCACGACTGCTGAGATGTCCAGTGAAATGAAAAATAATAAAATGCCAGCAAACACAGTTGAAATTAAATGCTGCAGAGCAAATTTGGGGTTATCATCTCAACATAATCACAGTAAAATATCTGCTATAAAACTGGGTTTTTGTATGTCTATACAATGTAACTCTTTTTCTGAAGTACAGTTCCAGTACACCAAGAGATTAGTTTCAGACCCCTCATTATTAGACTGTAAAGTGATTCCCATGTGAGTCATACTGGTGCATAGGTGTCCATATTCTTATTTCAGCCACAGAGGAAATGTCAGGTTCACTTTTAGGTCACATCACATTGAATTGCTTAAAAAGTAAACAGTTTAAAATATAGAAAACATTTGTAATAAAAATTATGGACAACACTCTAATGGGTCCTAACACCCCTTTTCTGTTTTAAACTATAATATATTAGAGTTATGATATTATCACATCTAAATACCATATAATTTGCATTATGTTTTTCACACTTTACCCAAGAATTGCGTCCTCCTAATATGTGCCATTTAAAATGGTGAAATCTATGTAGTTACAATTCTTCCAAGATAATGTCATATGGGATGCACTCACATGTTGAATGTATTTCTATTTGTCTCCAATGTTGAATACAGTGGCATTATGGGAATCAATGAACTGGGAGAACGTGTATGACTCTTTCCATAATGACACGCTCATACAAACTACAGTATAACAACCCATCTACTTTTGAAAAATGATAAAATTTGCATTGTATTCATTTGTCAAAATTAAAAATCCTGTGAATACAGAAAATATGAGTTTATTGGGGAGCATTTCCAAAGGGCACTGAACCATAGAGTTATATGAAAATCTAAAGTGTGTCTTCACAAAATACACAAAATTGACTTTTCATTTCTTTTCATGTCTATACATTCTTTTGTTTTCAAATAAGAATGCACACATTTTTTGACAACCAAATAGTGCAGCTATTTAATAAAATGAGATGACCGAATATCCATAACACAGAATCAAGCAACACAAATATTGATCTTTCATCAATGTCTAGGTCACATTTCTGAATGTAATGAAAATGTAAAGGAAACCAAATGCATGGAAGTCAGGTTTTGAGAGGAGAAAGGGTCTACTTAATGTTTAGAATATGTATCATTCATTTTCCATCTACAGCAATGACTCCTTAGGTCTTATAAAACCAAAAATTGATATATCAACATAAAAAGCTAATTACATAATGAGGAATGTACACACAAATATATGTACACACAAATATATGCTTACTAAAACTTGGTCATATGACAGTTAAGGTATCTCAGAACTGTTAATAACATGTGAAAATTAATAAAATATATAGCAGAGACAAAAATGAAAATAAATGTGTCATTATTTGATTCTGGAGTGGTTTTGTTTGGTTTTACTTCTTTATTGAATTATTTTTATATTTGAAATGATAATATAGTAACATGTCTTAGTTCCATTTCACACCTTCAAACTTCCAATGTAACTCTACCTCCCCACACTCTACTTCACATTAATAGCTTCTGTGCCCATTCATTATTTCATACATATATTTATATCTTTATGGATTATTAATCACATAGTCTTAATAAGATATCCCGAGATCTTACAGCAGGTATCTTTGTAAACTTTCGTGAGTTGACCTCATTTCCTCATTGAAAACTGAGTGGGTGAGTCTCAGGAATGATGGAGGATGCTGATAGCATCAAAAATATACAGAAAAATAGAACACAGTCTAAGGAGGATCTGTAAACACCGTACTTAAGAGGCTGAAGCTAAATGAGTGCAGTTTACCTGAAATCCTCCGGAGAACATGATGAAACCATATTTCAAAGAACATGAAAGATAATAAGGATCAAGGAAACTAGAAACAAACTGAGTTGAACAGTTGTTTCAATATTTTGGGACTATTCCTCATGCATTTCTAACATGCTACCACAGTTCACCCAACAGAAGTGAACTTTCAGTTATAAAGATATGGAAACAACATTGGAAGAAGACATGTTTTTAAATGAAGATTTATGCAATATCTGTTTCTTGAAAAGACCATTTTGTGTTTTGATCAGGCAAAGTAATTCACACAAGACTTTATTCACTTCTAGCTGATGACCTAAAACATATTACACAGGAATGGAGTCTTTGTCTTTTATCTTCAGTAAGATAATACCTAGGCAGAAGCTTATATTTTTGAAATTTGGAAGAACTATTTGGATAAAGTAATACACATAAGGTATAGCGCTCAGACCTTCCAACCAGGGAACACCTAACTAGTCACACACACACTCACACACACACACACACACACACACACACACACACACACATCTTGGCTTTCTTAAAAAGTGTAACTACTGAATCACACTCACCAAAATAGTTACAGTACTGCATATGAAACATGGGAGTTGGCGGTATTTTCTGTTCACTTTGGTTATAGGAGTGTAGAGAAAAGACACTGGGGATACTTCAATGAGAATTTCAGGACTGCCATTACAGATATAAAATCCTAGCAGAGAGGCTCAAAATACTATTGCACATAGTACACTACTGTGTTGATCATTATCATAGTTCATATAACTAGGAAGAAGTAATAATCTTTGTAGTCTCTTTTTCATCCTCAATTCCTTCAGAACTTACATAAATAAACGGTAGGGCTGTGTGGTCATTATGAAGGACAGTGGATATGAAAAATCTCCCGAGCTTGTTGCCTGGTGAAGGATCAAGCTCAATCTTGAATCCTGAAGTGAATATAATGAAGAGTTTCCTGATGCAGAACACTGTAGGAAGAGTAAATATGATTATATAGCCCTGGATTGCAGAGAATAAACTGATGACCTACAGGGACAGGCTAACTAATGATTTATGCATAACATTAGAAACTCAATGCACAGAGCTGGTGATTACTTGTACTGGTCCACAGTATTAACAATCTCTAAGGAATTCCTGGGGTTAATGGAGGAAGCAGAAGAAATGTTGTATGTGCTCAAGAATTTAGCTATGAGATTTCTTTGATGTCCTAAATCATTTATCTCCACTTTTATTTCAGTTTTGACTATCTTTAGTATTTTTTGTATTATAAGTAAATTCTATTGAATGTACTTCCTTTGTCTGCAGAAACCTGTTTCTTTTCTGTGTGGCAATCCAGAGGCCAGAAATTCACCATGTCCATTTTCAAGATTCATACCAGAGAGACCTTTGACTCTCAGGAATCCCACTGTTGAGGTTGATCTCTGTACCTCAAAATGTGTCTTCCAGCTTTTTGTGCCCAACAGTATCCCAACTGATATCTATTGGGACCAGAACTCTGTGATAGTGGTAACATGTGCTGCTAAGGAAGGGGATCTCAAATGTGCTGATCACATCAACAAAACTGTTGTGCCTGATCTAGGTTAAATGAAACTGAATGTTGTGGAACAAGAGAAGATGGACAAACTGATCATCAAGATGGATGGCACTGAAAATAAACCTAAATATGGAGTAAATGCCATACAGGAAGTGTCCCTGGCTTTCTCAAATGTGTGTGTCATGGAAAAAGGGGTTGTTCCTATACCTTCACATCACTGACTTGCTGACTTCCCTCAGTCATCCTGCTTTTCACAGCTTCCAATGTGATCAACTATTGTCCTCATGCTGGCAAGAAACTGGTCCTGCAAAAGTCCATGAACCTGCCTGTGGTGGTGTGCAGTTTCTGTGAAGCCATGTGCACTGGAGCAGAGGGTTATCACAACCAGAAGAATGTCATCAAGAAGGAATGAATGAAGAAACTCTCCATGTGTATGATAAGGGCAGGTTTATGACTAACATCCTGCAGCAAAAAAGTTTGGAGCTGCTGAAGGCCACAATTGAGAATGCCAGGTACACTGACCAGGGTTTCAGCACCATGAACATGACTGCTTCTGAATTCTTCAGGTCTGGCAAGTATGACCTTGATTTCAAGTCTCCTATGACTCCAAAAGTTGCATTATGCCTGACTAGATGAACGACCTGTATAAGTCCTTCATATGTGAATATCCTGTGGTGTCCATCGAAGATTCCTTTGACTAGGACAACAGGGAGGTTTGGCAGAAGTTCATGGCTCATGCAGGCATCCAGGTGATTGAGATGTCAGGTGTAATTCTGATAGATCTGCCTTTCTATCTTGCTTAGCCTTTTTCCTTTGCTGTTCTTGATATCATTTCTTTATTCTGTATGTTTTGTGCTTTGATTATTATGTGGTGAGGGGACTTTTTTCTGGTCCAGT